GTGAATAGTCTTAGAATTCCGAGCTTTGAGTCCCATTCAACATCTTTCATCCAATCAAATTCCAGCCCACACTCCATTTATTTAACAACTAGAAAGATGCTTGCATTACAAGCGCACATAGAAGCATCCCCATTCCCACCTTGTCTTGGATGGCTGCAACAGTGCCTCAAGCTACCCTAATAAGCATTTCAAGCCTTCAAGCAAGACAACTTTAACTATGACGCGACCTTCTACTTTAGGAGTCCTCAGAGCTTCATGCACAGAGGTCAAGCCTCTGAGTAGAACATCTCATCTAAATGAACATCACAATACAGTTTAAACCAAGTTTGTATTCGATCTTACATTTTGTTTGTTTGTTGTTTAACGCAGCACTCGGCAATATTCCAGCTGTATGACGGCGGTCTGTGAATAATCGAGTCTGGACCAGACAATCCAGTGACTGATATCATGAGCATCGATTCACACGATTGGGATAAGATGTCATGCAAACCTGAACACCGGTCCCGTTAGTCGCCTCTTACGCCAACATCGTAGTCTCTTACAACAAGCTTGCATTGCTGAAGACCTATTCTAACGTGGATCTTTACGGTTGATGATACATGCTCATCATAAGTAACGTTTTTATGTTGACATAAACAATCAAAACTCATTGTCTGCGTGTATTATGCTGTGTATTTTCTAAAAGTGTGCAAGCGAAGAGGATGACAAGCAGGACACACCGTGGAGACACACAGTAGGAGGGCTGGGACGGGTAACACAGGTGCTGAGTAGGACCCGGGTACCCACAGTACTACCCAGACATATGGTTAGTCATGTGATTATATTGTTTAATGGCAAAAATTATCTTGAACTCTATGGTTACATTATAAGTGACAAATGTTCACATTCCTTCTGACTTTATATGTCTGCATAAAGATAAGTCAACTTCAGAGTATGCATGACCAGATCGGTTCGTACTCGTATCTAAATACATTTTGACAGGTGTACAAACGTTTCCCAATCGGACATTTTGTACCTAACTCTTGAGACCTACAGCAGGTACCCGGGTAGGGTCCAGTTTTAGGGGGTTGGTACCGGGCAGTAAACTTGACTCATCCCAGCCCTAACACACAGTATCACGGCTTCCAGGATAATGAAACATGTCTCTATTTGATATTTTAACAGCTTCCTTGAAGCTCAGATACCATAAATGTGAATACAATAAATCCTTGAACAAAGGCCTGCCTTGAATACACACCTGCCTTGAATACACACTTGCAAAATGAATGCTTGCAAAATGAATTTGACAGTTAGATCCCTAAGGTCGCAGCCAGCAGGGTCTAACTGTCAAATTTTAAAAGTTTGATACCGGTTTGGAGGGATCTAAGTTATTTAAACCATGTCCAACTTTTATAGCACCTAAAATGCTTAAAAAACGTTGTTTTGTTAAGGGTATTTTGAAAGATATTCAGGAACTCTATGCTCAACTGTGAGAACACTGTGTTAGTTGGCCCTGCGTGAAGCACGTGAAATGTGTTCCCTGAGCCTTTAGCACGTGCACCTCGCACTTTGCCGATGTGGGTTATGAAATGCATGTCCCGGGGCAAGTATACCATTCGTTTTGGACCAACTCGAGCACATTTATCAATCAACTAAATATTACTTGCCCATGTTGATGGGCCTATTATGAGCAAATATAGCCCTGATCAAGATAATAGTAATTTCTTTTCTGTCTGTTCGTTTCGTTGAACGAAAAGCTTCAAAATCACAAGTACTGTACAAATACTAGAATGCATAGGGTTACATACTGTATAACAATTGCATAATACACATTTTGCAGTTCATAAAGGGATAAGCAATTGGTACTGATGTAAGTAAATATTTAGTTGTTAATTTCACACCCTTTCTCCCATGTCGCCGTGGCAGAAGACTACATTCGTTAGCCTTCTGTGCGGACTTCGCGGGTTCGAATCCCGCTGGCGACAAACGTTTTTTATGAAATTGTTCTATCATCAAGCCAAATGATAGGGGAAAAAAGAAGTTCCGTCATTGCCAAGTGGTGTTTAACTAACAATTCAGTTAGTTAGACCACGGTCAAAGACAAAGGAGCCATGGTTTAAAACCAGATATTCTTTTAGATGCTCAATAAATTGATATTAAAACGAAAGCCATTCTCATACAAAATGCAAACCACACACCTTTCATTCAAATTAAATATCCCATCTTCATGGAAATAAAAAGTGTTTTACCATAATTAAATTTACGGTATAAACAACAAATTGTATAGTAATGTTTATGACTAGATGCTTATCAGACTAATGCCCCTTCTCCTAAATACTCATACTTAGGCCTTAGATTATCATCTTCCTGAGGCAAGGGCATTAACTCGCAACAGAAGTCCAGCTCCCACCCAAGCCGAACTAGGCTGGAATTATGGAATAATATTTTACCTGGACTAATGAGTCTATGTGTAGTCCAGTCAAAATCGCGTAAAGAAATCAACATCCAGTTCGTAAACTTTCGTGCAGATTTTTGTTGGTTGAAGGATTTGCAAAGCATGTGTTCTGCCAACTAAGCGTCAACAGATAATTTCCAAATGGTTTCATGTTTTTAATAAAGGTCCTACGCAAAGTTTTTTCACAATATAGTTTTTGATTATCCATTAGATCGTCTGGACTGGGAGCTGCCATTTTGTTTAAAGCAAATGCAAGTTATATGAGAGGTGGAATCTGATTGTTTAAAAGGAGGGACATAGAAGGGACATAACTTGTATTGGCCACTAGTGGCGCTACGATCAAGCCCAGAAATTCCAGCCTTGTTTTGCCCCGGCTGGAAACTGGACATACAGCAGCCAGTTGACTCCCATGCCTCGGGAAGATGTAGATTATTTATTAGATGGTTTACGAATATTTTGGCCTAAAATTCAAAGTAGGTGATATATTAATAACAATTTAATCAGCTTAGTACTGCTGCTAATGAATGAAAACCAATAGTCTTTACATAGGATTATACCGAAAGAAAATTCATTGTTTCTTACCAACAGCGGTGATCAATCTTGTGGGTTTTTATTCATCTCACATATTTTGTAACAATGAGACAGTTAAAGATTTATCTTGTCAAAAGTCATTTTATTATTTTCTAATTTCAGTTATTTTTCATTGGGTCTTGTAAACCCCACCCAAAAACGATAAGGCCTTATCGTCTCTCAGATGTCTCAGTTAAGATTTTATAGAAGAACATTTCGATAATTCTCATAATTTTTAGATTTAACATACAGAATGAGATAAGCATACAATAATGACATATGGATACAATAAGAGTATTTTGGCCTCGCTTTTCTCAAGAAGCTGATTTGTGTGAAGATATTTTAATGAAAATTAAAGGATTTCCAAGTATTTTAGCTTTCCAAATAAGTTACTTATGAATTAGACATATTTACTTTATAATTCATGTCACATTTTTCATATGTGGATCTTTGACACCATAGTTTTAGTTTTGAAGCATTGTCACAGAAAATATCTTATGGATGCATGGTTTTCAATATGTATGCAAACACAACCATAAATATCCATGTATAAATAGTAAACTGAACATCTTCTCTATGATTTTATCCAAAAGACTGCAGTGGTCTGTAGATCATGATTATTTCTGTTTGAAGCTAAAACAGATGAGGCAACTTGAAGCTCACAGCGCATCTAGTATTTCAATATGAAGTAAATAGAGAATTGTACCCAAGTGTCTTTTAATATCAAATATATCAACATGAGTCTATAAAAGTTTAAAACTCTGGGGCTTGTTGATATGGTTGATATCAAAAGTGACGACTGTGGGATTTGAATTATCATTTGCAGAGAGATTAGCGATGTAATTTGATTGTGACATCATGGTAACACAATGTCACAATGGTCTGCAAAGCATAGTAATGCAGTTGCATTGCAGTGAGATCAAATCTCATTAAAAGCAGATCTTAGTTCTCACTCCTGCTAAACAAAGATCTGAAGACATTCCCTTACAGGTCACGCCAGTACGACCTTTTCTGATCTTTGACCGACCAATGAAACGACTAACATATCAAAAACTCAACATCAGCCAGTAAGAAATCAGTTTTCTCAAGCTTCCTGCACTAGTTTCAAACTGGGGATTTCCATTCAAGACTACATTTTGAAAAATATCCATTCAAAATTTGAAAACTGAACAAGAGAAAATTCTAATAAATGGCCGAGATTGTATGGCAGTATTTCCAACTGGGTATAAATTAGGACTGTTAAAGTTAAAATTTACTACCCAGATACCCACACCCCTATTACCCTACCGTCTGGGAATACCTAGTTTCACCGTAGCCCTGGAAAAATGTACTAAGATGTACACATAAGAAACGATCTGGTCATGCATACATTGAAGTTGGACTGAAGTTTTATCTTTATTTAATCATAAAAAAGACATAAAGAAATATGAACATTAGTGACTTGAAGTGTCACCATCAAGTTCCAGATAATTTTTGTCGTGACTAACCCCGGTCCAGGTAGTCCTGTGGGTACCAGGGTCCAAGTCGGTACCCCCCCCCGACCCGAGTTACCCGTCCCACCCCCAGTACCCATGTCCCTTCTGAAGGATAGACAATAATTTTCAAAAAATCAGTCGTACAACCCGTAACCATCATTCGGAACACCCCATGTTAACCTTTTCGAGGTTGGATCATTAATACAAACTGTCACTTTCCCGATCTGGTAAACAAAGCTCTGATTGGTCGTATGAAAGGTCGTTCTGACATGACCCATAATGGGATGTTTTAAGATCTTTATATAGTGGTAGCGAGAATTAAGATCTGATTTTAAAGACATTTCAGCGATAGCTCCAGTGAGATATTACTTAATCTCACCGAAGTGATATCTCCTGTGGATGCCAGTTCTGGATGATGAATTCACAAGTCTACATACTAGTTATTACTTCAAGCTGAAGCTGACACAAAGATACTAGTTTCATTCAATAACAGGGTCGGACACTTCACCCTGAAGACATACCTGTGGATGAAGTTGATCTGAAGTTGTCGACCAAGCCTACAAAAATGTTTTTTGCTAAAAACCAATACTTACTGAAGTTTACAACTTAATTAATTTCACATGATTTTGTATTTTCATCCTCAAAAAAGGACACAGAATACTTTAAATTAAATTCAATACTAAATAATTTAATTATATATTTATCTCAAATCTCAACACTTTCAATATATAATAACTTCATATAAGGATTCAAGCAACTCTTATTTAAATCTGAGAACATATGAATAATTGTTAGTCACTGAAATGAAAATGGATGGCATTTCTAGTATGAGGGTATACTTAATACTGTAAGAGATATAAAATTATATTTTTATACTTAAGTTTTACAAAGATATGTTTTAAGGGAAGTATTATACTCACTTGATCAGGAAACATCTGTATAACACCCAAGCCGACCAAGCGGCCCCAAGCGGCGCCGATGGCCAGAGACGGAATAAACACACCACTGGATACACTCAAACCATAGGTCCACACTCCGAGCAGGAAAAACACTATGATGAACACAATAAGGGACACAACTCCGTATGACTCTGAAACAGGAAGGGGTTAGCTGAGGTGAAGCTGTTATCAAGAAAAGATTTAGAGAATGGTGCTACACATAACCTCAAGCAATATTGGAGCTATTTAACAAATCATACTTGCATGATAAGTGCCCTGAGTGCTTAGAATATTGAAAAATGGGTCACTGTTTAAATGCCTGCCTGACAAACCATCACAGACGGTCAACTCTTAGAGCATGCATGTCGGATGGATTATGAAGATATAGTCAACAAAATTTAGGATATGAACTTATATCTTGAGTAGCATAAAGAAAATAAACCAATATTGATATATCACAAACAAACTGCAATAATTATTCCGGGAAGATCAACGATGCATGTTTTTGCACCACATTCCAACTTTTTGGTCACACCATGCCACGCTTAGAATATGCAGATTTGCATGATTTTAAGGATTCATGTTTCATGGCAGAAAATTTCCCAAACAACAAAGCTTTCTGGGCTGCTTGCACAAAGCAATCTTAGCGCTAAGAGTTCTGTAAGTCTATGTTAAAGTATGGCTGTTATGATGGTCTTGGCACTGAGGTTGCTTTGTTGGAAACTGGACTGGGCCCACTTGCACAAAGCAACCTTAGCGCTAAGATCATAGTAAGTCTATGTTTTTATATAAAGTATGGCAGTTATGATGGTCTCAGCACTAAGGTTGCTTAGTCGGTACCTGGATAGGGCCCACAGAGTAACCTTAGCGCTAAGACTATTGTAAGTCTATGTTTTTATATAAAGTATGGCAGTTATGATGGTCTCAGCACACAGATTGCTTTGTCGGTACCTGGATAGGGCCCACAGAGTAACCTTAGCGCTAAGACTATTGTGAGTCTATGTAATAATGGTCTTAGCACTAATTAAGATCTCTTGTGGTAGTGGACCCTGGTCTGTCTGGCGACTTTGTCAACTATCATGCTTGTACATGCTTGTACACACTATTATCAATATGCTCAAATAACATAATCCTTCATGATGTAGATTCATGGCCAACAACAGAATTAAAACAAAACTAAAATCCTCCCTCCCTACTGCCATGAGAAACAAGACACTTATTGTTATGTTGCCATGATGAGGCTGACTGACCTATGGGGTCATGTAGCAAGGCCTTAAGGCATCCCTCTGGTGTTGTAAGGAAGAGAGTGGACATGGCATTATGACCTTTCTCACAGAACATCTGCAAACAAACACACACAAATATAGCAAGGATTAACTGGCTGTTTGTCTCAGCAGAGGTGAAATGAGGTTTAACATCACGTCCAAGAATATTTCAACATGCCGGTTTATTAATGCTCGACTCCACTGAGATACCATGCCACAGCTTAACATGGACGCCCCACTCAGACACAATATACTGACTCCAAGCCAAACAGTCCTTGTTTTATCCCCTTGATGCCAAGCACCAAGCAGATTAACAATAAGTATCCCATCTTTAGATATTCTTTGGAATGATGCAACAGGGGATCTCGGCAGAATGATTAAGGTAGCGGCATTATGGTTTTGCATCTGTTGTGATGTACAACAACATGATCTGACAACCCTTCTATAGACTGTTATGTAATGTGAACATTCAAATCATCCTATCAGAGTTCTAAATTCTTGGTATGGATGAGCAAAACATTCAGGCCGCCATAGCTGATGTTTTGTATCTTGAAATTGAAGATAACCTATCAGTTTTGAATGTAAACATAATACATAATAACATTGTTGTTGACATTTTATACCCCCTTTCATTTTTGAGCATCATGGCATTTCAACCCAATTGGAGTACAAATGAAGGAGTATTTGTGTATTGGCTCAAGAACCCGCACATCGTTCATTTAGACAAGCTGGTCAAAGTAAACTCAGAGTTTACCAGATGTGGCCTTCCATGGAAAGTTTGTCAGATCTTTCTGCAGCCAAGTGAAGATCTGAATGAAAGTGATGGCATGGTGACTTTACAGGAGTTGAATAATTACGTGTGCCTCACATTTGAAGTGATGGCGTGGTGAATGTACGGGTGTTGAATAATTACGTGTGCCTCACGTTTGATGTGATGGCGTGGTGAATGTAAGGGTGTTGAATAATTACGTGTCTCACGTTTGATGTGATGGCGTGGTGAATGTACGGGTGTTGAATAATTACGTGTGCCTCACGTTTGATGTGATGGCGTGGTGAATGTAAGGGTGTTGAATAATTACGTGTCTCACGTTTGATGTGATGGCGTGGTGAATGTAAGGGTGTTGAATAATTACGTGTGCCTCACGTTTGATGTGATGGCATGGTGAATGTAAGGGTGTTGAATAATTACGTGTGTCTCACGTTTGATGTGATGGCGTGGTGAATGTACGGGTGTTAAATAATTACGTGTGCCTCACGTTTGATGTGATGGCGTGGTGAATGTACGGGTGTTGAATAATTACGTGTGCCTCACATTTGATGTGATGGTGTGGTGAATGTACAGGTGTTGAATAATTACGTGTCTCACGTTTGATGTGATGGCGTGGTGAATGTACGGGTGTTGAATAATTATGTGTGCCTCACGTTTGATGTCATGGCGTGATGAATGTACAGGTGTTGAATAATTGTGTGTCTCTCACGTTTGATGTGATGGCGTGGTGAATGTACGGGTGTTGTATGATTGTGTGTCTCTCACGTTTGATGTGATGGCGTGGTGACTGAACGGGTGTTCCTCGGTGCAGTCCTTGATGAAGAACATGAGGACAAAACCAATGATGGCGCTGATGACAGCTACAAAGCCAGCCTCCAGCACCCTCATCCACTTCTTGCGATGCAAGTACCTGAAACAGAACAGTGTTTTTAGTCCAAGACAACCAAATCTTGTTTACCTCATTAACCACACAGAACCATCCATAGTTAGACAAGTGAAGTGAGTGAGTGAGTGAGTATGTTTTTACAACACTTTTAACAATGTTCATGGCAAGGGACACCAGAAATAGGCTTGACACATTGTACTCATGTGGGGAACACAACTGTTACAGTTCCTTATTGTTCTGTTTGTTTTGTTTGTTTGTTTAATTGTTTGTTTAACGCCGCACTCAGCAATAATCCATCTATATGACGGCGGTCTGTAAATAATCAAGTCTGAACAAGAAAATCCAGTGATTGACATCATTAGCATCGATACACGCAATGGGGATACGATGACATGCATCAATCAAGTCAGTGAGCCTGACCACCCGATCCCGTTAGTAGCCTTTTACGACAAGCACGGGTTGCTGAAGACCTATTCTACCCCGGATCTTCACGGGCCTTCATTGTTTTGCTTTGAATAGTTGAAAAATTGATCATGTGTCTATTTATCCTTTTTACCCCAGTGGTTGTTCAATGACAATTATCAAAAAATATTATGCAGTTCGTACTTTTATAACAATTACCAACCCTAAAGATTTGGAAAATATCTGTTGACCATTAGTTGTCAGTACACATGCTTTGCAAATCCTGCAGTCAACCAAAATCTGAACAGCAGTTTACAAAAAGGAACATCAATTTCGTTAAGCAATTTTGATTGGACTATGCATAGAATCGTTAGTCAAGCCAAAATATAACGCCATAATTCCAGCCTAGTTTGGCATAGGTGGAAACTGGACTTTTATAGTCAGATAACTTCCTTGCCTCAGGAAGATGGACAAGAGAACTCTTTTTTTTAACTTTTTTTTTTAGCTGGTACTGAAACCTAGTTAATCAGTGCTACCTGATGGACAGATTTCTGGACTATTGACACATGGGTACAGTGTTACATCCTTTTGTGCACATAATGCAAAATCAGAGAACAACTGGTATCCGAAACAGACTCCATTGCGCTCAAAAGGCAAAACTGCTAAAAATCATATAAATGGATCTTAGCGCTAAGACTAATGTAGTCCTATGTTAAAGTATGGGAGTTACGATCATCTTAGCGCTAAGATCGCTTTGTGCAAGTGGGTCCAGATGACCACAAACAGGGTAAGCATGTCCTGCCTTGTTGGTAGCCACTCACACGATTTGCACAAAAAAGCATATTTGTTGCCTGACGCTGCACAGCAGAACTCCTGCCATGTGACGCAGCCAGTCAGCAAACCAGACAATCAAGTGATCGTATATACGTTCTTATAAACATCAGTGAGGATTAGGGATTAACACAGTCTGGACTTTGGTGGTCACTGTACGTAAATGCCAGAAAGATGATTCATAATGTATCATAATCACACACCTGTCATTAGCGACTCAAGGGCAGCAACTCTATATTATCGAGGTATGGCTATTTTGTGGTATATCACTTCCTGTCTTGAATTATGCATAATCAGTATGCATACGACCTAGGTTGGGTCAAGGGACTTCGTCCAAAACAAATGCGTTCTTCTCTAATCAATTTTGAATGGAAGTAGGGTTAATTCTACTTCAAAAACATTCCAGAAACTATCATAAAAATGTTAACGTGTATACTTACAAGTAGCTGTGACATACCTGTCCTGTAATCGATCAAGTTATGGAATATTGTGCTTAGATTTTCGTAAGTAAACAGCTGACGGGTATGGATTACAAGATTTACTGATAGAGTCATATTATACCTACTTTTGCCTGAAGACTGTAAGTTTATAGTTGAGCATGACAAACAAGGAGCCAGTAAGGCCTCCAAACACGGCCATCACAAGGAACACAGGGATCTCGATCAAGTCAAATGTTAAATTCTGAAACACAGGAAAACATTTCTTATAAGTTTTATGACATTCTTTTATCACCTTGAACATCAAATACACACTAAAAATACCTATACAAAGTTGGGTTTTTTAAGTCTCTGTAGCTAACTTGAAGATATCCAGGTTCAACTGTAGGACATAAACACACTGTAGAGCTATGTTACCAGAAGATTTCGTAATAAAATTTGTAAACAAACACAGGAGGTTCTAGATGTTGAAATTAGCAACATCCAGGATATCAATTCTGCATATTCGAACACAACATACTTTTGTTGTAAGACGAGTTCTATGGATGAACAACTTCTTTATTACAATTAATGTGACGTTTCGGTGTAGATCCTAACACCTTTATCAAGCAAGTGATATAGAACTCGTCTTACTTCATCACACCAACTTCTAAATGCCACTGAAAGAAGATACATTTGTTGTTTTCACATTTGCAAAATTTCAATAGGCTCATTTGTAAATAAACAAAATAGAGCCATGGACACTGTAGGTCACTAGGATATGGCAACATTTAAAACATAAAAAATGACAGCAATTTAACAAAAGTAGAAGTCATCATTGATATCCAAATATTTTCTCGACAGATAATGAGCACTGATGATATATGTACAAAACAAGAAACTACATTCTGTCACTGCTACATAATATGCAACAAACAAACAGCATTCATTTTCTTCGGGTTAAAAGTTACTTAAATAAATTTTGTTGAATAAAAATTCAACCTTAATACAGAGATACCATGGTAGCCATGATGAAAATCAGATCAGATTTCTTGAACAAACTGGAGTATCAATACAGCTTGATTAATTTTCAGATTCACCATTACAGAAGACGTTTATGGCTCACAATAGACAATGCCAAAAATAGTTGAGATAAAGACAAAAATGGATCTTGGCCCCGTTCCACAAAGTGATCTTAGCTCTGCAAGTGAGTGAGTATGGTTTTACGCTGCTTTTAGCAATATACCAGCGATATCACAGCAGGGGACACCAGAAAATGGGCTTCACACATTGTACCGTGTGGGGAATCGAACCTGGGTTTTCGGCAAGACGAGCCAACGCTTTTAACCACAAGGCTACCCAACTGCCACCTTAGCATTATCACTGTTTTAAGTGAGTGTCAAAGAATCAGAGCTACTACTGTCTTAGCGCTAAGATCACTTTGTAAAACGGGTACCAGGTCTCAATAGAAACATCTAAGTCATGCCTGAACACTCATGTGAGCAGTAAACTGTTTCCAAGAGATAGATTAATCAAATTGTACTGCCAGTAAATGTGTTTTTATGAGGCAAGAGGGCAAGCATCAAGCTGGATTAGAAACAAGTAGACATTAGGTGCTGACAAGGTAGATTTGATGGCCAACGCTTCCGACAACATTGTTTCACACAGTCAGTTGTGTTGTATGTCTGGGTCACCTGCCAGGTCGGAAAAATCAATACTGTCAACCGATTATATACTCACCAACAAAAGAAACGTGAACACCATACATGCTGGTTAAGATATGAAGAATTACTCTTATTCAAGAGATATTAGATTGGTTCGATGCATATAACGAACATGCTGTTATGTTGTGTGAACCGACGCTCATGAACACATCACATGACTCGAGATGGACCATTTGTCACGTGTAGCATATCATGATAAGAATAAAGACACGATGTGGTAATACTTTTCTGATTGTTAGTTTTGTCATTAAGTGGTACACATTGAAAACATCTCTTCTTAACGTACATACTTATGTATGTTTCTAGGATTCGCGTTTCTTTTGGTGGTGAGTATATAATCCCCTATACCAATTTTAGTCCTCAATTTCACCTTCTAAACGTAATCATGTAATTCATCAGGTAAAGTTTTGTTTTAGAGCAATACACAGTTACTCTTTTTGATAGTTTATTAGGTGAGACAAGACTAATCTGTTTCATTTTGCAGATGTTTGGGTCATTTGTTAATAAGCAGGAGGTCAAATAACTCGGGCTGTGTATTAGCAAAAAATCTTAAATGCAATATATTGCGATACTGGTATCTGTATTGCGATATGTACTGAATATATAAGACTGCTATGGGACAAATCACAAAGAACGATGAAAAAAACAAAGCTTGGTTTATTTGACGATAAAACATTGTCCTATCATGTCCTGATGCCATTGCTGGAGAATCGAACATGTGCTCGCAACTTGATGACGTTGTATATATATATGACTACGTTATTTTTGAGATGGTGAGTGTCTAGTGAGTTGTTCCCCATAGATGTAGCTGGGTACGCAGATAAACGCTATGGCTGAATGATCGCTTCCCAATGCGGGAGAGATATGACAATCAGTATTGAGAGAAAAGATACAGGTAATCGAAGTGAGGATTGTGAGAATACACGGGAAATACCCACATGTGCATGAAATCGACTTATCCGACATTGCTGAGGTCGGATTCTATTGCGAGAGTCATTATTATTTAAATACAGGTAAATATTTTTAAAGCTTATACAATTTATCATCATCCTTAAAGAGGCTGTACATAATGTTAATATCTCATATAAGAAATAAACGACTCGTGGTCATTGTTTTTCGTACAATTAAACACACTGCAGGGATAATAATCAGCAGATCCTTTTGTCTACACACAAAAGAAAACATAACTTAGTATGGTCGCCGCTGTTGTGTTGTCATGGATACATGGGAGATAACAATCAGAGAAAAATTATTTCCGCCATCAATTAATTTTGAAGGGAAGCAGCCTTCATGAATGAATTTCTCTGTAGGTTTTAGTTTAAATGATACAAATGTTAAATGATAACGAAACTTGCTATATTTTTTTACCCCCCGAAAAACAGAACACAAAAACAAATATTGCAATACTTATCGTTGGAAATGCATATTGTAGTATATCGATAATACCGTGCAGTCCTACAAACAACTGAGGTGAACTTCCTAATAAAAACTCTTGAAATATAAGTTTTAACAAAAAATACTAACAATCTAGAAGAATCTTTATTTTAAATCAAACACAGCTCTCTTCCGTAAAACACCAAATCCATTTGGCCCTCTCAGTGTGTCCAAGCAGCGCATTCTTTCAGCTACCTGGGGTCATAAGTTTCATTTCTTATCTGAAAGCATCCCTAAAGTGCTTTTAGAGTGAAAACTTAAAGGGCATTATTAAACTACCTTTGAAGAGGAATGGTTTTTTAGCAACTGACGGTCAAAATAATGACGCTTTAGTTTGCCTGAATCAAACATTTTTAATGGAACAACAAAGTGATGTTCAAAATAAGTACATTTCCAATCACACTTAGCCTTAATATTACCATAGGTCATGGATATCTTTTAAACAAGAAAATAACATTTTCTGGTCTACAATGCAACAAACAATTTTCTAATCAAACATCAGCAAATAGCTGGGGTTGTATTCTCCCCAGGGAGATGAGAATGAAAATCGCGTGCACACTGATCCATTGACTGGGGTAATAATAATGTAGCGCCATGAGCATTCACTTGGCGAATGGAATGTGGACCTTCATCATCATCATCATCATCATCATCATCAATAAATGTTTTCCACCTCATCATCATCATCAATAAATGTTTTCCACCTCATCATCATCAATAAATGTTTTCCACCTCATCATCATCATCAATAAATGTTTTCCACCTCATCATCATCATCATCATCATCAATAAATGTTTTCCACATCATCATCATCATCATCATCATCATCAATAAATGTTTTCCACCTCATCATCATCATCATCATCATCAATAAATGTTTTCCACATCATCATCATCATCATCATCATCAATAAATGTTTTCCACTTCTTCAAATGATAACAGTCCAGTAACCATGTTAAGAGAAACCTGAATGTCCTCACATCCATGTCAGCATCCCATCCCACTCCCAAGCAATGGTTGTCCGGTGCACGTCCAGCCTTCCTACAACATTGCATGTGCAGCCCCTGGGCGACAAGTGCACTGCTACATGGCAGGCATACAATATTTATCAAATAAACTAATCAACTGGCGACTGACTCCATGGATGTCTGTGAGAACTCTCCGAGAATGTACTAAAACTAACGACCTGTCCTCCCCCATGCACTGGAGCATGTACTTACCGGGAATGTACTAAAACTAACGACCTGTCCTCCCCCATGCACTGGAGCATGTACTTACCGGGAATGTATTAAAACGGACAAGACCTGGCGAGGAGAGGTGCGTGGGATGACCCTCGAAGGCACTTAGGAGAAAGTTGGTGGCAAAACATGCAATCATAGCGGAGAAGAACTGAAACAACAAATTAAGTCCACAACTTTAAAATGGTAGTACAAACAGCAGTCTTACATGATGAGCTACTCCTGCGTATTTCACGCAATAATTTCCAGAAAAACTCGCAAAAGTTTTTAATACTAGTCATTACTGATGCAATAAATTTGCTGAGGAAACTTAATTTCAGAGTGAGTATTTACCAGAAACCATTACTCGACAACTTTCGGAATTAAATGAGACGGAAAACTTTCATAAAATAGAAACTTGGAAGGCATGACTCCAAAGTTCTGAAAATGACCCCTTCCAAAATGTAGTGAGTCATCATGACGCACATCTTTACAAGGCTACGTAAATGCCTGTGACAGCTCTGTAAACACATACTCAGGCAGGCACTCACTCACTCACTCATCCACACAAGCATATGAGGCTTTTTGAACTGAGGACTAAATGCACCAATTTTGGACACACTTATTCCTAATAGAAAATATTCCCAGACATACAATCTTAAACTACACTTTACATGCCTTATATTGTCCTGATCCTCTCTGCACATAAAAAAAATCTGTTTATTCCATGAGTGAGTGAGTGAGTATGGTTTTACGCTGCTTTTAGCAATATCCCAGCAATCTCATGGCGGGGGACAGAATGGGCTTCACACATTGTACCCATGTCGGGAATCGAACCAAAGTCTTCGGCATGACGAGCAAACGCTTTAACCACTAGGCTACCCGACCGCCCCTTTATTCGATGAAAGGACAAACTACAAAATCATGTCAGTCTGGGGTGAGGTGTTAACACTGACCACTCTCCACACAAGTTCTGTGTTCCAGAAGCTTGCTGCCTCCTCCACGCTGAACAGCGTTCCTCCGACCGGGGCGCCGAACGCCGCCGACACGCCTGAGGCGGCTCCAGCTGCCACAAAGTCACGGATTTCGTGGTCCGACCGGAATTGGTCATAAATCTGAAAATGTCCAGAAATGACACAAACATTCTGATGACTCACTTGTTACATATTTACACATAATTTGTCTAGAATTTCAAAAATATTGACATTTCATTACATGAGAAACAATTTAACATACATTGGCAATTTTACATAGGATGAGCCCTGGAAGTTTGTTTGGGAAATTGTTCATGTCATGTGCAAGAAAATATATTATAAGAACAACCAATTGCACAAATAAAGATCTTTTTAAATATTAGAAATACTAACTTAATTAACTCCTTTTAATACCTTAAATCCAGTGATTGACATCATGAGCATCTATACATCTAGGCAACTGTGATACGATAACATGCATCAACCAAGTCAGCAAGCCTGAGCACCTGACCCCATTAGTCGTTTCTTACGACAAGCATAGTTGCCTCTAACGACAAGCATGGGTTGCTGAAGAACTATTCTCTACCTGGATCTTCACAGGTCCCTTTTAATATCTAAATGTAAAGTACATTTATGTTTATTGCCCAGTGCACTATAGTCCATGAGCTACTTACCCTGAAGTCCATTACAGTGCTGGAGTTACCTACCCTGAAGTGAACTACAGTGCTGGAGTTACCTACCCTGAAGTGCACTACAGTGCTAGAGTGACCTACCCTGAAGTGCATTACAGTGCTAGAGCTACCTACCCCAAAGTGCACTACAGTGCTGGAGTTACCTACCCTGAAGTCCACTACAGTGCTGGAGTTATCTACCCTGAAGTGAACTACAGTGCTGGAGTTACCTACCCTGAAGTGAACTACAGTGCTGGAGTTACCTACCCTGAAGTGCACTACAGTGCTAGAGTGACCTACCCTGAAGTGCATTACAGTGCTAGAGCTACCTACCCTGAAGTGAACTACAGTGCTGGAGTTACCTACCCTGAAGTGCACTACAGTGCTAGAGCTACCTACCCTGAAGTGAACTACAGTGCTGGAGTGACCTACCCTGAAGTGAACTACAGTGCTGGAGTTACCTACCCTGAAGTGCACTACAGTGCTGGAGTTACCTACCCTGAAGTGCACTACAGTGCTGGAGTTACCTACCCTGAAGTGAACTACAGTGCTGGAGTGACCTACCCTGAAGTGCACTACAGTGCTGGAGTTACCTACCCTGAAGTGAACTACAGTGCTGGAGTTACCTACCCTGAAGTGAACTACAGTTCTGGAGTTACCTACCCTGAAGTGCACTACAGTGCTGGAGTTACCTACCCTGAAGTGAACTACAGTTCTGGAGTTACCTACCCTGAAGTGCACTACAGTGCTGGAGTTACCTACCCTGAAGTGAACTACAGTGCTGGAGTGACCTACCCTGAAGTGCACTACAGTGCTGGAGTTACCTACCCTGAAGTGAACTACAGTGCTGGAGTTACCTACCCTGAAGTGAACTACAGTTCTGGAGTTACCTACCCTGAAGTGCACTACAGTGCTAGAGTTACCTACCCTGAAGTGCACTACAGTGCTGGAGTTACCTACCCTGAAGTGCACTACAGTGCTAGAGCTACCTACCCTGAAGTGCACTACAGTGCTAGAGCTACCTACCCCAAAGTGCACTACAGTGCTGGAGTTACCTACCCTGGAGTGCACTACAGTGCTGGAGCTACCTACCCTGAAGTGAACTACAGTGCTGGAGTTACCTACCCTGAAGTGAACTACAGTGCTAGAGTGACCTACCCTGAAGTGCACTACAGTGCTAGAGCTACCTACCCCAAAGTGCACTGCAGTGCTGGAGTTACCTACCCTGGAGTGCACTACAGTGCTGGAGTTACCTACCCTGAAGTGCACTACAATGCTGGAGTTACCTACCCTGAAGTGAACTACAGTGCTGGAGTTACCTACCCTGAAGTGAACTACAGTGCTAGAGCTACCTACCCTGAAGTGCACTACAGTGCTAGAGCTACCTACCCTGAAGTGAACTACAGTGCTGGAGTGACCTACCCTGAAGTGCACTACAGCGCTGGAGTTACCTACCCTGAAGTGCACTACAGTGCTAGAGCTACCTACCCTGAAGTGCACTACAGTGCTGGAGCTACCTACCCTGAAGTGCACTACAGTGCTGGAGTTACCTACCCTGAAGTGAACTACAGTGCTGGAGTTACCTACCCTGAAGTGCACTACAGTGCTGGAGTTACCTACCCTGAAGTGCACTACAGTGCTGGAGTTACCAACCCTGAAGTCCATTACAGTGCTTGAGCTACCTACCCTGAAGTCCATTACAGTGCTTGAGTTACCTACCCTGAAGTGCACTACAGTGCTGGAGTTACCTACCCTGAAGTGCACTACAGTGCTGGAGTTACCTACCCTGAAGTGAACTACAGTGCTAGAGCTACCTACCCCAAAGTGCACTACAGTGCTGGAGCTACCTACCCTGAAGTGAACTACAGTGCTAGAGCTACCTACCCTGAAGTGAACTACAGTGCTGGAGTTACCTACCCTGAAGTGCACTACAGTGCTGGAGTTACCTACCCTGAAGTGCACTACAGTGCTGGAGTTACCTACCCTGAAGTGCACAACAGTGCTAGAGCTACCTACCCTGAAGTGAACTACAGTGCTGGAGTTACCTACCCTGAAGTGCACTACAGTGCTGGAGTTACCTACCCTGAAGTGCACTACAGTGCTGGAGTTACCTACCCTGAAGTCCATTACAGTGCTTGAGTTACCTACCCTGAAGTCCATTACTGTGCTTGAGTTACCTACCCTGAAGTGAACTACAGTGCTGGAGTTACCTACCCTGAAGTGAACTACAGTGCTAGAGCTACCTACCCTGAAGTGCACTACAGTGCTAGAGCTACCTACCCTGAAGTGAACTACAGTGCTGGAGTTACCTACCCTGAAGTGCACTACAGTGCTGGAGTTACCTACCCTGAAGTGCACTACAGTGCTGGAGTTACCAACCCTGAAGTCCATTACAGTGCTTGAGTTACCTACCCTGAAGTCCATTACAGTGCTTGAGTTACCTACCCTGAAGTGCACTACAGTGCTGGAGTTACCTACCCTGAAGAGCACCTCAGTGCTGGAGTTACCTACCCTGAAGAGCACCTCAGTGCTGGAGTTACCTACCCTGAATTGCACTACAGTGATGGAGTTACCTACCCTGAAGCGCATTACAGTGCTAGAGCTACCCACACTCCGTCGCAGTGGTGACTCAGCATAACACCACTGCCACAGGCTAATTTGCATATCACGTGACCGGACTTTTCTCTTGTTTGTAAACAAACGCGCTTTTTCAGAAATCAGTATAGAACGGACTAATGCAAGTATTTGGTATATGCTTTACATATTGTTTTGCATAACTATATAGATATGCTACTACAACTGCGACAGTGAGTTGCATGACAATATATATTCATGCATCAAAGTGACCGTGTCGCTAGCTCTCCGTTGGGCTTCGATGACAGCACGTGGAGCCGTACAACCAATGTAAACATAGGATAACTATGCAAAAACAAGTAGATTTTTATGTATTTGCATACTTTCTAAATGAAAGTTAACCATTCTTTGACATTTGTTTATGAAAATGTGTAGACTTGTCAAACATGAAACGGATGAAAAGCATATACAATATCTTGAATGGACTGTGAAAGATGTGATGAATCGTCACATGGCGCTGGCCTGTGGCAGAGGTACTATGCTAGCTGGCTGCCGGCCGCATGGAACTCTGGGTAGGAGAGTGAGAGCTACCAACCCTGAAGTGCACTACAGTGCTGGTGTTACCTACCCTGAAGTGCACTACAGTGCTAGAGCTACCTACCCTGAAGCGCATTACAGTGCTAGACACTACCAACCCTGAAGTGCATTACAGTGCTGGAGTTACCTACCCTGAAGTGCACTACAGCGCTGGAGTGACCTACCCTGAAGTGCACTACAGTGCTGGAGCTACCTACCCTGAAGTGCACTACAGTGCTGGAGTTACCTACCCTGAAGTGAACTACAGTGCTGGAGTGACCTACCCTGAAGTGCACTACAGTGCTGGAGCTACCTACCCTGAAGTGCACTACAGTGCTGGAGTTACCTACCCTGAAGTGCACTACAGTGCTGGAGTTACCTACCCTGAAGTGCACTACAGTGCTAGAGCTACCTACCCTGAAGTGCACTACAGTGCCGGAGTTACCTACCCTGAAGTGCACTACAGCGCTGGAGTTACCTACCCTGAAGTGCACTACAGTGCTGGAGTTACCTACCCCAAAGTGCACTACAGTGCTGGAGTTACCTACCCTGGAGTGCACTGCAGTGCTGGAGTTATCTACCCTGAAGTGCACTACAGTGCTGGAGTTACCTACCCTGAAGTGCACTACAATGCTGGAGTTACCTACCCTGGAGTGCACTACAGTGCTGGAGTTACCTATCCTGAAGTGCACTACAGCGCTGGAGTTACCTACCCTGAAGTGCACAACAGTGCTGGAGTTACCTACCCCGAAGTGCACTACAGTGCTGGAGTTACCTACCCTGAAGTGCACAACAGTGCTGGAGTTACCTACCCCGAAGTGCACTACAGTGCTGGAGTTACCTACCCCGAAGTGCACTACAGTGCTGGAGTTACCTATCCTGAAGTGCACTACAGTGCTGGAGTTACCCACCCCGAAGTGAACTATAGTGCTGGAGTTACCTACCCTGATTTCCTTCTTCTTCTTCCCACACCAGTGTATCCTCCCCTTCCCCAGACCAGCCGCCATGATGCCCCCTGAGTGAGCCATGGGACCTTCCTGGAATAATCGGCACATTTCTCACTGGTACAGTTTATATAAATCTGATCGGAACAGTAACTTTTTCTGCTTCAACCAACTATGATCAACACCTCCCAGGTCTATGCAGACTGTACATTCATTTCACTAACAAGAATTATTTTAAATATTTTTGACAAAGACCTTTTAGTATGACAAGTTTAATCACATTAGGCTTCTGTTTGCATTTTTAACAATTATTGAACACAATAATGACACAATCTGACACAAGTGAGTTGCTTTAGGGTTTTGTAAAACACATTTTAACAGTTTTCTCACCTTGCCACATGCCAGACCCCCCAGGATGGACAAAATGACCCCTAAAACTTTGGAGATGAACCCCCCTAAGGTTAGCAGTCCTGGAATACGAACTCCGTTGAGGTAGGACTTGATTAATGGAATGCCACTGCCAGCTGCTTTGGGCTGAAAAAAACACACATCAAAAATGAATAAATTGCTAAAATATACAGATGTTAGGTTCACAAACATATGATCTGTAATTTACTTCTCTGCTAACAAAAATACTATGAGAACAATTTCGAACAAATTGAATACTTGGCTTTTAGATTTTTTTTATTAAATTCATTTGAGAACATTGCTTTTCTTCAACTAGATTTTAATTTATTTTTTTCAAATTTTAATGGAATGAGACTTGTTTATATGCTGTTTTTCTGAAGTATGGTAAAAAATAATAACCTAAAATATACTTGATATTAAAAATATGTACATCACGAACACGAAATGTGTTAGGAGTTACAAGCCCTTGCCAAGAACTAAACCCCAGACAACATCATTTGTTGAAGACGGAAAATGACACAAATGTGACCCAGAATCAAAAGACTTATTGTAGCCTCCCTGAAATATTCTTAAAAATATTGCAAGCAGAACATATGACTCACCTGGACATATGTTACAAGAGCAGCACCAAGAATTGTGATACTTAAGTTTATTCCACACCATATTAACACTGGAATGATGAGACAGTTCTCCTTGGAGCAGCGGTCTAGATCTGGACATGGCTTAAGGAATCCCAACTGAACTTCAACATAAACACCAACACACATATTGACATTTGCTGCCCCTGTTGTTGGTAGAACAGGTGACCTAGTAATGTAAGGAGATGCAATTTTCTCTTCAAAGTTGCATGCAGACCCGTGATGATTCCGGGGTAGAACAACCCATGCTTGCCATAAAATGTGACTATGCTTGTCGTAAGAGGCGATTGGAGGGATTGGGTGGTCAGGCTCGCTGACTTGGTTGATGCATGTCATCGTATCCAAATTGCGTGGATTGATGCTCATGACGTCAATCACTAGATTGTCTGGTTCAGACTTGATTATTTACAGACCACCGTCATATAGCTGGAATATAGTGCGGCATTAAAAAACAAACAAATCAGAATTGCATCCCTTCAGTGTGCCTGAAAGTTATCATTGTGGGTTCGCCCTGATTATATTCTAGGGTTGTCATCAGCAATCTGTTCTTGTGGGTTTCACTAAAGTGGTAAATGTCTAAGACCTGCTTCATTTTTGGCCTTCATCCATCAAGCTGAAACGCAGTGATATAACTGAAATACTGTTCAAAGCTGCATTAAAACAAATGCACTCGCTCCATTCAGGTAATTGTGGTAATAGACGTTCCCGAATGTGAGGGTTTACAATTTCTAGTAATCTCGTGGAGACATGGTTTGTCCAACTTATAAACCGACTCAATCGCATAGACAACGTTTTTAATGAAATAACTGTAACAAAAACTCTCAAATGTGTAACCTGTATCGGAGATGAAATATCGCCTGCAGTCGTGAACTCGGTTCAATGAAACCGGTGACCTCAGCACGTGTGTTTCGCAACGGTACAAAATCTGCATGTGCGTCTCGCAATGGCACGAAATCTGCATGTGCGTCTCGTAGGCTGAGACGATTACACGTTTTGCTTTGACTGACGCTCATTCATCTTACAGCCTGTTGCTGGCATACGGATCTTGAAAAGGACATTCTTAAAAAGCACTGCTGCTTATCAACACCTCTGTAGCCTTGTGGTACACTCACTGGGCTATGAAGGTTGCGAGTTCGATCCTCGGGAATATAAAGAAAACATTTGTCATCGGATTTTACATTTCATTACATGTTACAATCTGAACGGAAGTTATAATGATTGTAAGCCCTCCTGCGAGGTGTTACAATCATTGTAATACCTCCTGCGAGGTGTTACCACAATTTCAAAAACTCCATATCGAGTTACACAAACAGCCAGTAGGTTTATAATTAGTGATCAGCCATGCCTGTTTAGGGTAATATTTACATAGAACAAACATCTGTTGTCAAAGTCTCTAGTATTTGTCGTCAACATCATTATGTTTTGAATGGACAACATTGAAAATAGGTTGAATCTTTATTGTGATCCAGATTCCAATAATAAATTTGACCTACCACAAGTAATCTTAACATTGGCTTGGAGTGGATGGACAGACTAGAAAAGTAGTCATTCTCTCATCACATTGAAGACCTGCTCAGATCTGACACACTGCTGCAAAGTGTGCATGGTGATAAAGTCTTGGGTCTCCTGTGTATTAACTTAATTTATTTGTAATTGTTTGTCACACATTCATTAGACTGATTGACAACACTGAATGACACAAGACTGACACATGAATGAATGACACAAGACTGAATGACACAAGGCTGAATGAGTCAAGACTGAATGGCACAAGGCTGAATGAGTCAAGACTGATTGACACAAGACTGACACATGAATGAATGACACAAAACTGATTGAGACATGACTGAATAAGTCAAAACTGAATAACCCAATGCTGAATGACACAAGACTGAATGACACAAGACTGACAACACTGAATAACACAAGGCTGAATAAGTCAAAACTGAATAACACAAGACTGATTGACAACACTGAATGACACAAGGCTGAATGAGTCAAGACTGAATGACACAAGGCTGAATGAGTCAAGACTGAATGACACAAGCATGAATGACACAAGGCGGGATGACACAACACAGAAAAACACAAGGCTGTATGACACAAGACTAAGTTTCTCTACCCTTCTAACTTTGATGAACCAGATATCCAGTTTTTAGCTTTCTTTTTCTTTTCGAGCCTCTCTCATCAGAGATAAATTAACCTTATTCTGCTTCACCTGGCTCTCCTTCCATTATTTCAACAATATATCACAGAAAGTACCGCTAATAGGTTTCCCCACCTCTCCTTGAGTTGTTGCTGAAGCTGGGGCTGTTTACACAACAACAGGGTCTATAATTTCACCACCTCCACCAGGCATCTTCACCATCCTTCATTAGTGCCCTCGTCTACCAACATTGTTCCACCTAACCTGTTAACAATTAGGTCTCTCCTTGTGAAAAACACCCTCCCACACTTGGCAGAGCACAAGGGGATGCTCAAGGTCATTGTTTATCTCCCTGTCTCCCAGAGATGTGCAAACTATTGTTGCTGCAAGAATGTCCCTGGCTCCTGCACCACAGAGCACCGTAAACACACAGCACCATAATCAGTGCCCTGGGCACTCAGAAAATTGACAAAGGAGCAGTCACTTTTTAAACTCATACACAACAAGTTAAATTCAATGTCAGGGACCGAGTGGGAGAGAACAAATCTTGATGGAACCAAAAGTTTGGAGTTACATAATAGTTGGACATGGTGAATGACAACTTTACTTATATTTCCTGTTACAGTAAGCAGGAAATTTTTAAAAGATCCCCCACCCCTTCAAAATAAAAATGTAACCCCTTCCTACTCAGCTATATTGTTTGTAAATTGAAAACAACTAATATATGCAATAACGTGTCATTAAAAATTTGGAGAGCTTATAAAGATTACTTGCAGATGTTGGTCGGGGTACTTCTTGGAGCAGGGTGCTTCATGAGGCGAATACGGTACAGGTGGCAGGGTGTGTACCTGACACTCACTGGGGGGTGGCATCATGGGTCATTCTTTCAGTGATCCTCAACCATGTTCTACTCAGTGACTTTCTGGTATTGTTGTGCCATGTTGTGTTTAATTATCTGCAGGAGTTGTGGTTAGTGTTGTGCCATGTTGTCTCATTCAGTGTTGTTCAAGACTCAAGACGGTCAGCATTGTGCTAAATGTTGTGTCATGTTGTCTCATTCAGTATTGTTCAAGACTCAAGACGGTCACAAGACTCAAGACGGTCAGCATTGTGCTAAATGTTGTGTCATGTTGTCTCATTCAGTGTTGTCCAAGACTCAAGACGGTCAGCATTGTGCTAAATGTTGTGCCATGTTGTCTCATTCAGTGTTGTTCAAGACTCAAGACGGTCAGCATTGTGCTAAATGTTGTGCCATGTTGTCTCATTCAGTGTTGTTCAAGACTCAAGACGGTCAGCATTGTGCTAAATGTTGTGTCATGTTGTCTCATTCATCGTTGTTTAAGACTCAAGACGGTCAGCATTGTGCTAAATGTTGTGTCATTCAGCGTTGTTCAAGACGGTCAGCATTGTGCTAAATGTTGTCTCATTCAGCGTTGTTCAAGACTCAAGACGGTCAGCATTGTGCTAAATGTTGTGTCATGTTGTCTCATTCAGTGTTGTTCAAGACTCAGACGGTCATCATTGTGCTAAATGTTGTGTCATGTTGTCTCATTCAGTGTTGTTCAAGACTCAAGAAGGTCAGCATTGTGCTCTATGTTGTGACAGGATGAATCATTCAGTGTTGTTCAAGACTTTGGCATGTTATGTGTGCACAAGTGTGGGAAATGAATGCAAGGCATCACACAGAGAAGGGTTCAGCTGGCATAGTGTCAACTTGTGCAATCGCTGTCACTCCTTCACTGCCATCTTGGAAGGTAAAACATTGTTCCAGCTCCTACAAATACAATCTGTCAACACTGGCAACAGAAGATACGAGCTTGACACACAGACACTCAAATAAGACGCAAATGATGTGCAAGTCCTGCACACAATGTTCAATGTCATTTCTTCAAAGCACATGAGAGTTCTCTACCTGATTTGAAAAACACATACACAAGACTCTACACTGCAAAGAAATGAGACATTATCAGGGTAATTAGATACCACAGAGTATGTTTGTTTGTGGTTTAACGTCGCACTCACCAATATTCCAGGCATATGACAGCGGTCTGTAAATAATCCAGTCTGGACCAGACAATCTAGTGATTGACAACATGAGCATCGATCTACACAATTGGGATCGATGACATGCATCAACCAAGTCAGCAAACCTGACCACCCGATCCCGTTTGTGTCTCAAAATATTTACTACTCAAAAGAAGTTAAGGAACATCCAATTTTTGAATGGCTATAGTTAATGTGTCATTGACATTAAAGTACACCCAATTTTTTTCGGAAGATAGTTAATCTGTCATGACCATGACAGATTAATTATAGCCATATGAAAAAAGTGGGTGTTCTTTAACGTTTTTTGGGTAGTATAAGTGGTAAACAAATCTAGCAAGTACATAATGGTGAGAGGAGAATGGCATGTCTTGTTTACTCCATGATGTCACAAGTAGTTAGTCTTCACACACAGTTGCCTTGAAGCTCATGGGCACAATGTCACAAACATAACACTGTGCCAAGAGATCGTTGGCCATCAACAGTTTAAAATTTCCTCAGGGCAGACACTTAAAAAAAGTTGTCAGCCTTGATAGTAAAACATGGAATGATTTGAGCAAAATATGATGTCACCTAAAGGAGAATAATACATGCCAAATTTCGGTGCCCTCATGTTTGCAATTTCAACTTTGCCAAATATCCCTATTGAAATAATTTAAGTGCGAGGTCAAAACAAAGTCAAAATTTAAAATATATAAACCTCTACTTACACCACATGTACCAAATTTCATTTCATTTTAAAAACAAATAGCTGAGTAATGGCCATAAATAACTTTTACAATATGGCTGCAGTGGTGGCCATATTGAAAATCAGGTTTGAAACTCTTGAACTAATTGGGGTGTCAGTATTGGTGGGAAAAAACTTCGTAAGTCCAATGGTTTCTG